TTTGATTACTAACAGCTCGGCCCGTTACTACACGATTGCGGCCGATAGTAATACATTTATTGTTATTTAGATTAATAAAGAAACGTGATATATTACATTTACTTTTCGCCATTTTCTCTCCTCTCTCGTACATATGCCCGTTGAAAACACAAGGAGTATCGGAAGGCAATACTGACTATATTACTATCGCTGGTAACATGCAAATACACCCCGAACACTGCAGGCTATATTATAAAATTATACAACACTGTAAACTATATTACATAATTATACAACACTGCAGGCTATAATTATTATACAATTATACAACACTGCAGGCTATAATTATTATACAATTATACAACACTGCAGGCTATATTATACAATTATACAACACTGGGGGCTATACTATACAATAACACGGCAAGTAGCGATAACAATAGCTACATATTTTAGGGTTCGTTCACTAATTACGCGATTACAACAGTTTCCACAAAAATCTGTTTGTAATTGAACAAGTACATTATCAGGATTAAGGCAATAGTAGAATACAAGATGATTCCTTATTGCCCATTCCCCGACATTATGCATTCGATAACGAATAAAAAAAAAATTATATATTAGAATCAAAATTTTGAAAATGCGAATAAAATGACAATAAAATATCAAAGGAACTTAATTGCAGTCTCGAACCATGCAGCGCCGTATAATCGCGTACACGAGCACGACTCACCTTGGTCGGTAAAATATTCCGCTAGTAAACTTCTCCGCCGTTTAATGACTATCGTCTACTGTCGTCGTCCTCGCTGACAAATAAACAAGCTCTCTCTCTATCCGCACTGCGCGCGCGTCCGACGTGTAGCGAGTTGTTACTGCAGCAGCTGTGCTTCTAACGAACTACCTGCCTGCGCTGTTAGCTCTGCTAATATAGGACTACGCGAGAGTATATAGTCGCTCGCTACATTTACGCTGGTTGAGGAATTTCGCTACCGCGTCACGTGGGCTGGTTGTGTTCACGGTGCGTGCAGACCTCGCGCTGCGGCGTCCGCGTGATGACGTCAGCGGAACGTCGGCACTGGTGCGTGCGTGCGCGATGGGTGGGAGGAGGAGGGGGACGGGGGAGGACGGCGGGAGGGGCTGCGCGTGCGGTGACGCGAGTCGAATGCGCCAACAACCACTTTTACCTACAAAGCGAATAGGAGGTCAATAGGAGGTACGTGGCTGCACGGCGGTGCAGCCGATACGCTTAGCACTGCATACACACACACACGCGCGCGCACACGCACACGCGCGCGCGCGCACACACACGCACACACGTGCACACACACACAAACAAACACACACACACATACACACACACTCACACACGCGCGCGTACACACACACACATACACACACACACACACACACACACACACACACACACACACACA